GCACTGGGCTTGTATTTAGCTAAACAATACAACAACACTTTCTTGGAAAGTTTCAAATTTTGACCTCAGCCCCAAAAGAAGCACTGTTTGTTCAGCGTTACGAAAAATCAACATTTAGCAACTTAAATCACAGTGGGGACAAAGACAAAAACAAACACAAAAAACCCAAGTTTCATCTACAGCATATGCAGAGATGTTGGTGGAATATTAAGCTGCTAAGCTCCAGAAGAACTGTTACTGTTTGGGAGTTTATTTGGTTCTTTGTAATAATGCTGTATGCCACAAATCCCTAGCTCGGGTCTGAAGTTCTAGACCTATTCTACATTCCAATAAGATATATCAAACCCCAGGCCTATTTTAAAATATTGAGAAGAACCATCCTCTTCACCTTAACTACAACAGAGTTGCCGCTGTGTTAGTCAGTCATAGTAATAATCACATCTTTCTAATAAGAAGTAGACCACAGTTTAGGAGTTATCTGCTATGTAGTATTGCAGTTCATCTCCCAAATAAGACATGAGGCCTAAAGGGCACTTTTTGATACCTCCGATAGAGAGCAGTGAGCCAGAAGATTATCTTGCTTTGGTTCCTCATTTTAAACTGCTTTTTATAGGTATCTCCCTTGCAAGGATATTTTAAAAAACAACCACAAACGTTCAGCTGTGGTACCTTTCCCTGAAATCATTACTATATCGTAGTACAAAACAGAAGCTAACACTCAGTGATGAAAACTGAATGCTCAGATACAAAAAACAGGAAACATCACTGGGGGCTGGTGAGGCAGAAGGGAGAAAAACTTGCATAAAGAAAAAGTACAGCATATGAAACAAAAACAGCATACCAGATGGACGAGATCGATAAAATGCAGAGCAAAAAAAATTCTGTATAATAATAATAAAAGAATAATGACAATAAGATTTACAGAAATAAACCTTTACAAGCAATTTATGGCCCTTAACAAGGATTCCATTGCTAACATCATCTTTTCATGTAAACTACATAACATTAGGGCAGTTAAATACAAATGCAAATATACATGGAATAAGAACAGTCTCTTAGACACACGGGCCATACTATGAAAAATATTTTAAAACCCATAAGACAGAAATTAGAGTCAATAAATGAAATCAGTTTTTGCTTCGGGAACTATTAATTCATTTTCCACTTGTAAGACAAATGAACCAAACCTCCAAAAGCTGCTCTTCAGAACAGAACCCTAAAAAGATTTAAAAGAGAAACTTATATCATGGTTTCACATTAAGCAGCTATGCCACTCAGGTAGGCCTGGCCCTCCCCCCCATCCTGCTAGACCACTTGTTTCTGTCACAGTGGTACCACCACAACTGCCTGTTACACCACACTGATCAAACTGGGGAACTAAACCAGCCGAGAAACAAGGTAGAGAAAGCAGGGACTGAGGGGGGCAGGTGTTTCTCAGGCAGATCACTTCCCTGCTCCAGTTCACTATGCAGCTGCCAAACAGCTGCACTGGCAAAACAAGCAGGATAGCATACGGGTGCGTGTATACGCATTTGTGTGCATACATATATACAAACTCCCAAACACACACATTTATACGAGGATGTGTGTGTGCATATAAGTGTGTGTATATATATTTATATGAGAGGGTGTGTGCATATATGATCCTCATATATATATATGTATGAGGATGCATGTGTTCCGATATACATACACACACAGATACACACACAAACAACCAACATCTACTTAAGACATCACTGCTGCCAAAGAAATGCACTTGGACTTGCAACCTAAATGAAAACAATTCACTTAAACGTCCTTATAAAATCTGTTCAGCACAATAAAAAAAACTTCTCAGCTAACCAGTTGAGCAAATGCATGACAATATAGCTGAAGCTGCCGCCATTTAAAATGGAACAAAAGTCAACACTAGAACCTCTAATAACAATGTCCACAGGAAAAAAATCTTAGCCTATACTTTCGATTTTCTACACTCCTGCAATTACCACTAGATTTCTTTTTTTTTTTCCCCCCCAGATAGACGGTTTGCCCCTGTTCCCAGTATTGACTATTACAACACTAGTACCTTTCTGTGCAACTCCAGGCAAAGGTTAAAAGAATGTCATTTTAAATATGTTTGTTTTGTAAGCAGTTTATTCACCTCAGTAAGACAAAGTAGACTTTTATTCCCTCTACGCAGTCAGTGAATTGATGTTTTGAGTTCACTCACAGAAGTCCAGTTTTCCTTACATACTAGGCCAATAGAGAAGGCTATTAATCATTGTTTCCACATAATTAGTCAAGACCTCCTTTTTATTTAATGCTGAAAATCACCTTTCTAAGCATGCATCATATCCTTCACATTCTTATCATGTGTTTTAGAGAGGTACATGATATCACCCCAACATGTTTCATCAGTTACAAAGCACCTCCAGATAGCTGGTTGATTATCCAGGTACAACCAGTTTTCTAGAAATTATTCATTTTTATACTCAGATGAGTATAGTACAACTTTTGTCTATAATATCCATCCTAAGAAAATTAAATTTTCACAATTAATTTTACTGTAAACATTACTCATATGCATACATATTCACATGCATACATATGGTTGGACAATTGGCTTCATTCAACTCACTGTACTAGAACTATACTAAAACTGGATGCTAACAAACACTTAATTAGTATAAACTGACATAATCACCAAAGCAAGCAATTTCCATCCTTTTCTCCATCTCACAATGCTTCTTTCCCTTTAACTCATCTAAGGAATTTAGTTAAAAATAATCCAGTCCCCAAGAAGTTGGTCTTAACCTCAGTCAATTCTGTGATTTAGCTCGTCACACAACAGCTTGTTTCACGTAGAGCGGAAGCAGAAGTAATAAGCCACCTTGAGTAAAAGATGATGATGTTTCTGTCAGCAGTAGTACTAACTTATGCCGGCTTAAAGTATTCCTCAAATGACTGCCAAATCCTTATTAGCTACCATTGCCAATGTAGAACCAAAGTCTCATGCATCAATAATTTACAGAATCACAGAATGGTTTAGGTTGGAAGGGACCTCTGGAGATCATCTAGTCCAACCTCCCTGCTCAAGCAGGGTCCCCTAGAGCATCTTGCCCAGGATCACGTGCAGGCGGGTTTTGAATATCTCCAGCAAAGGAGACTCCACGACCTCTCTGGCCAATTTACTGCATCTATCATCACAGTCAAGATGAGATCAAAGGGAAAGATACCTGTACTATGTACACAGCATTTCATATAATCATTGAAAAACTCCTAATTAGGAATTTTAGGTTTTGCCTCCCTCTCTCAGATCAACACATGAAGTCACAACACTAACTTCTCAAGTTACATTTAAATAATTTCAAAATACTTATGTATAATATGAACAACACTATCTCTTTAAGGCTTTAAGATTTTTTTTGACTTTCATAACACTATTAACTAAACATTCAGGTTGCTCAGTCACACTATTTGTCTGAACTTTGCAGATAATCAAAACTCACAGACATATTTTAAAAACTTAACATTAATAACATCAGCCTGCTTGTAGTTAATGCCTCCCTTGTACAATTTATCGACTGCACAATCATTGCATATAGCATTAAAATGAGCACAGTACTTCTCTTTGGCTGAAGTCATTTGGCTTAAATAAAGACTAACAATCCATTGGTGGTTTGCATATGACAATGAAGTCAAGTCTTTATATTCTTAAACTAACAGTGGACAGTTTCTAAGGGAAAGGTCCTTCAGTAACAGATGGTCTGTTACCCTTCCCCACGGCCAAAGTATATCACTTCTTTGAAGCCCTATTCAAATCGGGCTTAAATATTTTACTTAACTATGGTTTATTAAGAGCTGTATTGACAATGAAACACACCAGACGACTTAAACAGGAGCAGATACAAGAATTAATCAACTTCTAATCCCATGAGAGAGACTTCTTAACCTTTAAAAAATAGCAAGGATAGTGAATTCAGCAAACCCCTATATTTACCAAACAAAAAAAAAATTTAGAGTTCTTTTTCAGCTCTTTTTTAAGTCTTGCAAGAGCTGGATGAGTAATTTGTGATTAAATTCTTTGTCTAAAACTGCACATTCTTAAAAACCTAAAGCGTTCTCAAAGTGTTTCTGTTCAAAACAGAGAAGGGAATATAACTTAAATTATTAATCATATCACACAGATAAGAGTCCCTTGGATCAAGCTGGAGCAGATTATGAAATCAATAAATGAGAGGATAACTATCACCTCCACAGGGGGTGAAAGGTTTTCTGTTTTGTTTTTAAAGCAGCACAGCGAGTTTAAGACTGTATCTCCCGTTTCTCCCTCCAGCCCCACCCATTCAGTCATACGAACACAGTGTTTTGCGCAGCTCCAAGTACACCAGATCCCTCATGTAAAGTAGTTTAAATTTGACCCCTCCTCCTTCTTTCAAGGGTTTGTTTAGAAACAACAATGAATTTCAGTAATCTGTACTGTTCTGCCTGTTTAGCGATAAAAATGAGTCAGGGACACGGGTCAGAGTATCTCCAGCTTGGTTTTTGTTCATTCCACACATATTTCACATTTACTTTGGCTCATGCTTTTCATAGCTTCAGTCCTATTCCAACTGAACTCTCTGCCTACGTTCCTCTTCCCCAATCATCTCCTACGCTCCTCTTCCCAAATCATCTCCATTTAATTCTGCACCACATGACCTCATCGCAATTTCCCTCTACTCCAACAGACTTACAGTTTACTCATTTCTCCAATTTTGTTCTCCAGTTCCATCTCTTTGTTACAAAACTCAAAGACTCCTATAGCAGGAACTAATACCTTTGTTTGGTTTCATCCACAATGTTAGAAAACAACAAACGATTACTTTGCTGTTTACAAGTGATTAGGTCTGACAGGGTAAGATGATTTATTCCACTTCAACTTTATGGAGATTTTATGGTTGTTGGATTTTTTTTAAACTACTACGACAGAAGATAATGAATATCTGAGAAATGGAAATAGAATAAGCTTCACTTACCTTGAAAATACCAACCCAGTCTTTCTGATGAGGGTGGATAAACTGGGTTAGAGTGTAGTGACATTCAAGGTGCGTGTTTGGAAGATAACTTTTTGCCACATTTTGAAAAATCACATGTGCAAAATTGGAGGTTTGCAAAGCATTAGCTGAAGATGGAACTTCTTGAAAGGATGACATGACTGATCTGTAACAAAATTTTAGAAGTTACTACTAAAATATAGTGGAAGAATGTGGTTAACAATTAATCTGTTTGAAATGTACAAGACAGAAGTTTAAGAACTAATTCTGCTGTTCCAAAACCAGACAGCAATAGGTCAAGGTCTCCCAAGCACACTGCCTCAGCATCACTCCAAAACAATCACTTCTCATAATGAAAGAGTAGCCATCTCTTCATATTGGTGTCATCACAGAAAAGACATCCCTGGGCTGAATGCCCCCAACACTATACCTCAGAAACAGCAGCAGAAAGTAGGGAGCAAAAGCAGTGATAGGAAAAAAATCAAGAAGGGTTCTGACTTGCATGAAATAAACTTAATGTTTCTGAATCTTGCTGGGAAGGAGAAACAAAGTTCCATAATTTTCCTTACTTTAAAACTCTTCCCAGAATTTGTGCTACTTAATGGTTTTGACAGCATTTTTACGTATAAATATTTTTTTCTCTCAGCAAAACTAACAATTTTTCATTTTAAGACATTTTTAACAAACAAGAAAGTTTATTTAAAAAAAAAAACTGTTTAGACAAAGAGTTTACTCTCTTCAGGAAAATAGAAGTCTGTGGGCATCTTGTACTGTGCTTTAACACATACGCCCCTAGCCCTGCATTTTTAATTTTACTGCCATAAACAGTGAACTTGATGATAGTGGGAACATTCAGGTGCATATGCAAGTTGGATGGATTAACACTGAATTCAACCAGATCGTAGAAGCATTTATCACATTCACCACCTCATTCAGGTTACACTACCCTAAAAAACTACAGTAATGCAAGAGATGCTTCATAAACAGACCAAGAACTTCCCTTCCTTAGATTCGGCCACCTCTGTCAAAAAGATAAGATGGACAACTGGTTAAGTTTCAACTGTCTGATTTCAGTCTACAATCATAAGTTTGTCAAAACATCTGGTATTAGGAGGATTAGGGCCTTATATATTTAACACTACATTTCTGGCCAAAAGAGCTGCTTTGTTCTTGCAACCGCTATTAAAAATAAATTCATGCTGATCAAGCAAATATGTACCCTGAATGAGATTACTGCCAAGTGTGTGAGATAATATTTTTTGAAGATATATGACGAAATCAATCCCAAAGAGGGATGGGCCACTTCAAGTCTCAATTAAGAACTGTCTGTATATTTCCTAGAGCCTTTTAAAATTTCTTTGCAACAGTGAAGAAATAAGAAAAGCTCACATTTTCTGAAATAAAATGCACTCTGGAATAAAAAAATACTCATCTGTCTGAACAAGTAGAAAAAATCTCTGTTTACCTCTTAAGTTAAGCCCTCAGTGTTTTAAGCCTCTTACCATCCCATTTAGTGTAACACACGTAGTACATATGGACAGCCATAGCATTATTTTGGTATATTGGATGTTAAATAAAAAGCAGTTTTGTACCCTGAACAACACAAGTAAAAAATGTAAAATGCCTTACTAGTAAAAATTAACAGACATAAAGACTAGACAAAGATAAGAACTTACACAAACAAGAATCCGAATAAATATGAAAAGACAAAACTTTTTTAGAGACAATAAAGAAGTACATCTTTTGGGAATACACGTAAATCCAGTCTGTTATAGAGCCCCAGGGTACAGAGAAGCGTAGCAAGTTCTACAGCTTAGCACAACTCTGAAAATTCCCACTCCCCCCCAATCAGAAAGTTATATCCAAGACACCTCTCAAAAACATTCCAAACCATAAACTTTAGAAAAAACTGTTTTTTACAATCCTCCCCCCAAAAAACAGAATAGTCACTATTTTTTTCAAGTGTAATAAACCCATTCATTTTTAATAATTTAGTAGTCTCTGAAGCTAAATAATAATGACATGAAACAGACTGTATCAGTTTTTTGTTACCTAGGATAAGTTAAAAAATAAGCAAAGCATTAATAACAAAAGCAATGGAATTCAACATTTTTTGAAATAGGTCTATTTCAAATACCGGGAAGTTTATTACAAGAAAACATTACAAAAAACCCAAAGCATTCATTTCTGCATACTGGTCAGCCAGCTACCACAGCTGAGCATTATCTTTATTGAAACCATTAATAAAGGGAATCTGTTTTCCAAGTCCAAAGCAGAACTACGAATTTGAACTTGTGCTGACCAGCAGAATCACCTGGGATTACTGTCCACCAGCAGCAAAATCCTCGGCGCTTAGGTGAAGCCGATATCCACTAACAGTTCAAGAATAGCTTAGGGGATGTTCGGTGCTTGCTTAGTTAGCTCACAGCTACCGGTGTGAGAAAAGCCGGGGGGGAGGAGGAGGAGGAGGAGGAGGAGGAGGAAGAGCTACGTTTAGGCTTTATTACTGACGTGACAAGCCATTCTCACCGAGAGGCCG